AAATGATACACAATTTCACTGAACAAAATAATAGGAAAAACAACCTAACTTTGACTACAGCTGTAGTTAATAGAGATCCATCAATGTGCTAAAATCTATCGAATGTTATATTTTCAGTTTGCACATTGTGTGCTGCACATATTTGTACTTAATAAAGTTATTTATTGAACTTAGCTAAGGCCTGTCAACAGCACACTCCAGCCTGCCTCATCTCCTATCCTCTATGCTCCTGCACAATAAACAAGGGACAATTGCTGCTCAACACACATTTAGTTTTTCTCTGCCCAGGGAGAGCTCCACAGAAATCAGGTTTAACACCAACTCTGCTCATGAGCCACCAGATCACAGCCAGGGCATGAGGCCTCTGCTCTTCCAGAAGCCCAGCTTGCTGCACCCTGTTCAACATGCTCCAAGAGAAAGTGGTGGGTTTTTTCTGTTGGCTTTTGGGGGGTGGGGGATACTGAGGATTGAACACACAACCTTCACAATGACCTACATTCCAGCCCTTTTTTATTTTTTATTTTTTATTTTTTTAAGCTAAGGTCTTACAAAAGTAGTAAGTTGCCCAGGTTGGGCTCTAACTTATAATCCCCGTTTTAGCCTCTCAGAGTGCTGAGATTAAAGGCAAGCTCCACCATGCTTGGCTACCCTATGAGAAGGCTACCAGAGGGTAGAGCACAGCAGCTAGGTGGGGCCTTAGGACTAAGTGCATGGGCAATGTGGGGTGGTGGGGGAGGGGCTTCACCATGCCCCAGTGCAAGCCCTGGTCCATCTTCCTACCATTCTGGGGTCGGCACAAGGGGAGTTAGTTGGTCAGAAAATACTGCCCAGTGGAACGTTAACAGGGACAGAGGTATACTAGCAAGTCTCACTGCACCAAGTAACGTACTAGCTTTGCCTTCTACTGACCTGACTTCAAATTCCCACTTTGCTTCTTAATGATCATACAATCGCAATAAAAATACCAAATCGACACCCAAGATTTGGAGGCGGATTTTTTAAACATCAGATGGGCACTGACTAGGAATCAACTGTTCTTCAAAATGTCAGGCCTCCATGGCCCAACGAGAAAGGTTTTATGGGGTTGGAAAGTGGGTGGGTGGGGAAATACAGAGATAGAGTACTTGACAGTCTCTGATTGGTTCTTACAACACATCACAGTGACCAGGGGTTTCTAAGAGACAGAAGCAGCCAGACCTGCAACAGGAACCATCATCTGGGCAACTGAAGTGCGCTGGGGGAGGGAGGGCTCTTCTGCTACCATGACAGAAGCTATGAAAATTCCAACCTTCCAAGGACCAGATCAGAATTTAAGATTCCTGATCTATATATAATAAACTCATAATTGTTCCTAGTCTTTACGGAGATGTTGCAAAATAAAGAGAATGGATATAAACCTAAGAGAGGCCAGGTGACCAAAGACAGAAAAAGACCAAATTCTCTCTTACTCTCAACCTCTACGCAATGCAGGATGTGTCCAAGATGTATGGGTTCTTTCCCCCACAAGTGAATCCCCAGTGGACAAGCAGAGTGTTCTACTGTTTAGTTAAAATCTGACAGGACTAGAGATAGCATTAGCCCCACAGTTTAGGGCACAGTCCCACAAGACTCTTCCACTTCTGATTTTCCAGTCATAAGTAGCAGGTTACCCACAACTTCTGTCTGGCTTCAAGGATCCAAACTACAAACCATGGCTGAGTCTCCATGGTGACCACTCCCACACAAAAACACATTAACAGCTACCTTAGAGCCACAGAAGATGTTCCTAATCAACCCGAAACTTCCAGGGGATGTAGGAGCTGAGTGAGAAGTTCCCATCATTCTGAAAGTTAAAAAGATCCTAGAAGCTCTGTGTGAGGAACCCAGACAAAGATCAAATATGAGAACAAAAGAATCTCCTAGCATTCAGATCTACAAAAGTTTTATGAGTTCCACTGAGGGGTAGCCTGTTTCATAGTAGTTAATAAATTTATTGTTATTTGATGGTTTATTGATTGTCAGCTTGCTCAGCTTGAGAGACACCTCAGAGATTAGTAACACACACTTCCGGATGTGTCTAGAGGGGCCACAGGGCTGTGACCTGGGGGGTTACCATGATCCTTTACATTGTTTTGTATTAAGCTGTCTGTAGTTTACTTTGGGATGAGCAATGATAGAAAAATGTAATTAATAAAACTAAGTATCTCTTAAAATTCAAGTGGGGCTGGTGATATGGCTCAGTGGTGTAAAGTACCTACTTAGAACAAGCTTAGCAAAGCACAGAGATCACAGTTCAATCCCCCAGCACCACATGCCAGCCAACCTGCCCCCTGGTGGGCTGAGCTGGCCCCACCACCACACACACATAAATAAATAAATAAAATTTAAAAAAAATAAAATTCAAATGAATATAAAATGAGGATAAACTTCAACTTATGCTTCTAGTACCTTGACACATAGGAACTATGCCTTCATTTTAAAGTTTTTATACATTTGCAATTCATAATAATTATGAAGTATGGTTTAACATTAAACTGAGCTACTGAAAAAAAATAAAATTTCATTATAAGAGAAATGAATATGAAGATGACAATAAGATTAGCACTAAAATGCTTGGTTATCTTTTAATGCCTTTTTTTTTTTTTTTTTTTTTTTACAAAACTGGGGATTGAACTCAGGCCCTTGCGCTTGCCAGGCAATCGCTTATTCTACTGAGCCATCTCCCCAGCCCCCAATGCCTGCTTATCGTAACCACAGGAAAAAGCCCACGCCTTGCATTGCTACAGGAGCATGGGATAGTAGAATTGCTATAGCTGTTGGTTTGGTTGGTGTCTACCGTAAAATGCATGTGTTCTTTGGCCAGGATGGTTGGACATTTATTTACTAGAATTAATACAACTTCTATTTGAAAAATAAAACTAATTAATTTAAATTTCACTTCTAGGAATTTATTTAACCACTCCACTAGAGATGTTTAAAATTATATGTGCATATGCATATTTATTACGATTTTGGTCATAGTAATAATACAAACTATTGGGAATAACACCAATGTGCCTCAATACAGTACAATGTACATAACAGCCATTTAAAAATGATAGCAGTATGTATGTAATAAGATGAAGGGATCTTTGAATATAACATTAAGTGAACACAATCTAGAGCATCGTGCAGGATGTGCCACCTCCGGGGGAGGACAGCTGGCTGTGGACACCCAGCAGCACCTGAGTCCATGCACACTGGTGTGCACACAGCACCTCTGGACGTGCACTCAAGAACACAGAGCGGCCATTCATCCCATGGATGAGCTCCAGGTAGCTGGGCCGGAGGTAGGGCATGTGCCTTTATGCCTTTTTGTGACTCATGACCTATGTGTCATCTCTGTGTCTGATCTATCTTTAAAAATTAAGTGATTACTGACTCAGTACATTTAAAAAATCAAAATATATCCTTTGTGAAGGGGTGATGAAGATCCTTTTTAAAGGTCTTGCCCATTAAGAGATACTGGATGACATTTAGCAAAAACAAGGTCTACTGTTGATCAAGATTTCATTTTCTATAGAGGAAAACTAGTTTTCAGATCTTCCATTCTGGCTGCCTCGCCTTTTCCTCAGGATTCTCAAATCACCTTTTAATAACAAACAAGCACCAAAGCTGTGAAGGGAAAACAGGTCCCTGCCTTTCCCACCTTGACAGCGCTCCAGGGACCTACCATGATAGTATGCTCGGGAAACTTGGCTCGGACCAGTTTCACAAACTCCACAAAATGCTCCGAATACCCGTTGGCCACATCCAGGCAAATGAACTTCACCTGCGGCACGGCCTCCAGAATGCTGCTCATCTTGTCCAGGTCGTTCTGTCCACTGCCCGAGCTCACAGCCACATGCTACACAGAGACAAACACAGACCAGTGTGAAGCAGCAGCAACCACAGGCAGACCTTGGCCCACCAGACGCCTGGTGGCAGGGGACAGCCCAGTGAGCCTGAGCGTCACTCTACGGGAGTGGCTCATGCAAGAGCAGAGGTAGAGGAGACCCAGTCTGGTCTCTTTCCCATTGTTAAGTTGCTTATGTCTTTAAACCTGGACCTCAGTTGCAAAATCTTTCAAGTGAACAAATTCTTAAATAGCCAAAGCCTGGTCCGTGGCTTCCATGTCATTATCTCAGCTTCACTGCAGAACTGCGAATCTTGGACCTACTGGTACAGTGGTGTCTCAGCACAGAAACTCCAGGGAGGACAATAAGAGAGTGGGGAAGTTTCCAGAAAGAGCAGAGAGGCCATTCAGCCAAGGGCAAAGCCGTGGCCTTCACCTGAAGGCCTCGAGCAGGGAGCAGGCAATGCCTCAAATTCCTCTGATAAACTTGCTCCTATTTTTATTACTTCTGCTCCAAGGGTCATCCTCACAAACCAGATGCCCATTTTCAGCTGCCAAAAGTCAACCCTTGTGTGAAAATATTAAGTGCGATACTCCAAAAACGTGACCTTCACAAGCTTTAAATCTTTATTATGGATTATTGTGACACTTTTTCTCTGCCTTCCCAACGACAGCTAGCCCAGCAGGCTTACTACCAACTAAACTCAAAAGCAGCTTCTTAGAATTCAATGTTCTTTCTATCAGCAGCTGACACCTTCAGAATGGGTCCAGCCAGGAAACAGAGGTCCCCCACAAGCTCTGTCGCAGAACCCATCACCTCTCTGGGGGAGACACAGTGCCGCCAGGTAAGCCCTAGTGTCTTCCTAATACCAGGTGGGCTGGATGCCAGTCACAAATTCCTGGCAGTAACACAAGATGCAGATTACCGAGAGCTATGAGTCTCTCTGTGAACTCCACTGCTCTTGATATCGCTGAAGAGTTTCTGCGCCCCCTGCAGCCCTTGTAACTTCAGCCCAGGTCGTCCTCATACCTGCAGGCACTCGGGGTGGAGCGTGGCGAAGCGCTTCCAGTCATCCAGCGTGTAATGCTTATGAATCGCCGTAAACATGCAATGCTAGGAAACAAGACCACATCATTAGGATGGGAAGCCCAGGGAGCCCTCTCCCACTTCTGCATCTGCAGGTGGCCTTCCAGCCAGACAGAGGCATCTGCTGCTCCTGCCACGCAAGGCTGAACTTGCTTTCAATATGTTCCTGGGAGCCCAAAATAGACAAAGGTGTAACAGTGAAATCACTGTGCTTCCCACTCTAATCCAATCAGACAATACTGCATTTCTGCTCTGCCAGGAGGCAAGAGAGGAATCAGGGCCTTCCCCGAGACAGACACAGCCTCCCCTGGCTCCCTTCCAGAGCCGAGTCAGGCCAGGCCAGGAGCAGCAGATGGCCCAAAAGCAAGCCATGCAGCCGGCCCCTGCCCAGCACGGGCCATCCTAACACAGACTTCTGTCCATCAACCCCAAAAGACCTCACTGTAGGCCGGAAAGCTTTATCTTGCCCTCACAACCAAAATGCCAACCATGTCTTCCTGAAAGCTAAAGCCACCAGGTATGGCGATGCACAGCCGTAATCCCAGCACTCAGGAGGCTGATGCAGGAGGATCACTGTGAGTTCAAGGCCAGTGTGAACTACTAGTGAGTTCACGCCAGTGTGAACTGAATAGCAAGACCTTGTCTCAAATTCTAAAACCTTAAATCCGTGACGATCCCCTGAGCCTTTATGACCACTGTGCCAAAGCTCTGTAGACGCTACTCCAGGTATTCTCCAAACAGCAGTATCAGCTGTGTGCACAGAAGCGATGCTTAAGAAACTTAGCAGCTGCTCGGCTAGCAAGGGGCAAAGGCCAAAATCGGCTCTGATCTGACTCATGAGCCCAGGCTCCAACCCCAGGTAACCGCGGGCTCTGACGTCCGGGGCTGCCTATTTCCCCACCTACCTTTTCTCACTTCAAAATTTTATGGCTTGATTAACTTGCACTCACTCTGTTGGTTCTAGAAATGGAACATCCATAGTACCCACACACGGCTATGTCAGTGTGCACTGCCTCACTTGTGGGAAACTGTCCCAGGACAAGGAATGGGCATAGCAGGCTATAGGATTTTCAGACTAAAATTGAGCATGTGAATTCACTAGGTTACTTATTGTGTCCTAAGTCCCTCTACATTTATACTCTGCTCATCAGCTTTCTGTTACTGTGATACAATACCTGAGATAGAGCTGACTTATAAAGACAAAAGGTTTATTTTGGCTCAGTGTCCTCAGGCTAGGGCAAGGAAGAACATAGCGAAGTCACTCCCCTCATCACTGTGCCCAGAAAACAGAAATAGCACAGTCCCCTTCACAGGTGTCCCCAATATCTAAAGAACTCCTCCTAGGTCCCACCTCTTTAAGGCACTGTCCTGTGGACCAAGCCTTTAATACATGAACCTCTGTGAGAACCAGCCTACATTAACACACGGACCCTTCACACCAATGCCTGATGACAGCAGAACAAGGAAAAGGATGGAGAGAAAAGAGTGACTATGTCTCTCTAGTAATTTGTTAGCCTCTGACCCAAAGTGTGGTGGTGGCTGACAGCTGACCGACAAGACAACTAACCATAGAGTCAGAGGGTCAAGGCTCTACTCTCTTTTTGAGCTCATGATTTGCTTGAGAATCTCCTCCCACTATTCATTGTCTAATAACGAATCCCAGCCCTTCCTGTAGCTAGCCTTGCTACCCACAGTGAGATGCTCCTTCAACTAATTGGCTTTCTCTTTGCACTTAGGCACTATCAACAGAAACAGATACACAGCTCCTGTGTGCATCGGCAGCAAACACTCCACATCTAGGCTGCAGGATACTCTGGGACCTCAGACAATCTGGAGTGGGACTAGGGTCCTGCCTACCAATGGACATTTGCTTTACTTTTCTGAAAGCCAAGATATCAGCTATTCCCTTTATCCCCAATGAGATCAGCAGCTGACTAAAAGGAACTTTGAGCTTGTACTGACTCTGCATTTGAGGGAGTGGTAAATCCTGTAGATTCTGGAGTCAGTTCAGCTGTCAGTCCTGCCTCTCTGTCTGGCTGAGAGCCCTGGAATAAATTACTCTCTCTGCCTCAGTTTCTTCCTGCTGCAAAGGAACCTACCCTGTGGAGGTGTGGGAAGGAGGAAGAGCCGCATTATGTCCCATACTGCTCAGTGGACTTTTCTGCATCTTTATGTAGTAAATGCAACGTCACAGACTGGGTACAAAGCTCTGTCTTGACTTGCAAGGCAACATGCTTCTTCTGTAATAGGACACTCATCCTGTTATCTAACTTTTTGAATGTCTCATTTCCGAAACCCTCTTGGCATTTTCACAGAAGAAATCAAGGCTAATCTGGCCCGTCTCACTGAACGCAGAATCACACACCAGCCACCTTCAGACCAAAGAGAAGATGTGCCCACCCCACCCCGAAAAGGATGCATCCAGCCACAACAAACTCAGAAAAAGGAGGACACAAAGCACGTGACAGAGTCCCCAGGAGGCTCCTGACAACTCATGTGCAGTGTGACCAGCAAAAGTTAAAGGGAGCGGAGCATCTCACCTGCGACATCACAGCTGCCATCTCAAATGTCCCCACGGTGTCCATGTTGGCTACAATGATGGGGATCCCAGAGTAGGTCTGCTTCGAGTTTCGAAATGTGAAAGTACTCTCAAGATCCACCTGTTGGCCAAAAGTGGAAAGAAACGAATGTTTGATCTTAGGCACTGTCTGCACCATTTCTCTGTTCAGAGGGGCAGTAAAATCCCAAAGTGAGTGTCCAGCCCTCGGTCCCTGGACTCTCTGCAGGCTTGGGTCAGAGATGCCTGGGCAGTCCCCAAGCAACCAGTGCATTCATATGCAAAACCTCTGGCAGCCCCTGCCACCCTCAAGTGCCAGTACAAGACACTAGATAGTCTGCCAGGTGCCAAAACCCCAAGTCAGAAACCTCCAGCATCCACCTCTCCAATCCCATGCCTGGCTACCTTCCATTCCCAGCCTAGGTTGTGTTGTCCCTAACTCTCCAAACACATGTTACCTTTCTCCCACTCCCAAGCCCTGGAGGGACAAAGCCCCTTCTGGTAAAATCCACTCCACTCTTCCCTGGCAACAGTGACCCTCCTCCTGTTACAATCCCTGTGACTCTCACCTTTCACCTAGAGCCACACTCCAAATTCATGCAGCTGTGAGCTCCAAGCCACTAATCCCTTAGCCTTTGAACTTCTACAGCTGGCTTGTAATCATGAGCAGGTTAAAAAGAGCTAGAGGGAATACACTGCAACCATATGTTCCTGCATAGAAGCAAACAGTTGCTCCTCTGCCTTGCAAACAGCTGGAGGGCCTCCTGAGGCCACTGCAGCTCCAACTTTGAGGTGTAGAAGACCATCACCAGCAGCAGTCAGGAATCCAGGACCTCAGAGCAGCCAGCAGAGTCGCTTGGCAGACACAGTGGGCAAGGACCAGGCACTGTGGCAGCTACAGTGGCCTCAGAATTCCTAGGATTATGACCCTGGGCAGGTCCTCCCCAGAGGACAGGCTACCCCTACATGGCTCAGTTGTCAAGATCATTTCTGGCTGGGTTTGGCCTGTGGAGGACACTTACTGCAGGAAGAACAGGGGGGCAGAGGAGCAGGTGGTGGAAGTCACAGCCAGATTCCCAATGCCAGGGGTTACATCTAGCAGCTGCGTCCTCTTCAAACCAGCGTCTTCCTGATTCCAACTTCTCCAGGGTGAGCCCAGCCCCGCTCAGGGACCCTAATGCTAGGGCAGAGAAAGGCTTCTTGCCCTTGCCAATCTCTGGGGTGCCTCCATATTGTTCGATATCTCAGAGGTGTCAGGATTCCCTATGTTAAATTCGTTGCTTGAAACGCTGTGCATTGTTCATTTTCATGGCTGGACCCCAATGAATACAGATGACGCTGCAGGTAGGTGACCGGCCAAGGTAAACCAGTCCAAGAAACAGATGTGAACCTTATGCCTCTGCACCAACGCAGACCTGCAGGCGAGACAGACGCGAGGCCTCACCTCCTGAGCATTCACCTGGACATTGCTTTTATTCCTTCCACTTTTGAAAACGCGCACTTTATAATCACAACATGCCAGGCGGCTCTGGGAGACAGCTCAGAGCCCGCAGCCTTTCCTGCCTTGGCTTCTCCACCCAGGGCTCCACAGCCCCAGGCTTCCTGATGTCATACACATACGGCCTGTAAGTGCCCATCAGGGAGGGGAAGCGAGATGCTGTCACTGCAGACACATCTGTGGCCTGCATCCCTTCCTCCACTTCCTTCAGGATGCTTCTCAGCTGTGCCCCAGTGAAGCAAGCGCCATCAACATTCTGCAAGCTAATCAAGGGGCTCGATTAGTTGCAACCTCCTGTGCTGCTAATGGCCTCAACCACTTTGGCTCAGCGCTGAAAGCAATCAGCATTCCTTGGCTTCAGATTGCTCTTGGACTCCTCCAAGGTGCACGGGGAGTGAGCTACGCTCTGCACAGGCCTGAGATCACAACAGCTCTTTCTTGGCACTCTAAAACCTATCAGCCGTATCCCTCCCCACCCCCAAAAAAAGCTTCCCAGAAAAGGGCAGCTTTGACAATGAAACTTCCCTTTATTCCTACTCAACTCAGAAACTAAATTCTTGGGGCAGAGGGTGTAGCTCAACCATAGAGGACATGCCTAACACATGTGAGGTCCTAAGATCCTCCAGAAAAACACATGAGGCAGATTCTTTGCAATATAAATTTGAAGAATGAAAAATGAAACTGTCTCCCCAACCTTATCTATTCAGACACACACGCCAAACAGGCCAGTTGCTCTTTCAGAGATAATACCATAAAGACACGAATCTTCCAGGACAAAAAGTGGCATTTAATCTGCCACAGCTAATGCAATGACAGCCACTCTAAATTCCCGCTCTGCCAAGACCCCTCTGAGAGGGAACCAGGCAACCAAAGTCACTTGCCCAACCTCAAAACCCTGTTCCCCATACACACCTTCAAGTTGGCCCAACCACCCAGCATTCTGGGGGCTCAGAAGTACCAAGGGAGCCCCACATCTCTAAACAATTAAGGCTGTAGTTGGAGCTAATGAACGGCTACATCAAACCAATCTACCCTCCCCCATCACAGAAAACTGTGATAGCACAGACTAGGAAGGTACTGACCACAGTAACGTTGCCCCCTTCGCACCTGAATCTCTCTGTGCACACACCAGCACCCCAGCCCAGCACACTGAGCTGTATACACACACTTGTGTAGGCAGGTCCACAAACAGTCACTACTTGGCCATTCTGGGGTTACCTAGAGCAGTACCCTAGCAGCTTGAGACAACACACCAGGGAAGCAGTCCAGGCAGGCTCTGGCGTCATCTTGAAGTTATCAGGGGGAGGATTCCCAGGGTAGTGAGACCTGCAGCACATGTGCCAGAAGGAACAGCAGAGCCACAAGGCCACCTGTTCAGGTACCACCAGGGACACACAAGTGGGCACTTAGAGCTGTGGAGGGCAGTGAGTAAGGCAATTACCTAGATTGTTCATTGGCTGTCTCATGTGAGTACTGGAACCATATCCTTTATATCAGTAGCCCTAGGAGCTCAAGAGCATGAAATTAATTCACAGCTAAAGGCCAAGAGTGATCCTGAGTTCTGCCCCAGTCTTTTGCAGGGCAATGCGTGGGGGACTGTTCAGCCCCATGGACATGGACCCGACCCCCACAAGCCTCACATTTAGCTCTCAGGCTTCAGAGAAGCTCTCACACAGCGGAGCAACAGAGGTCAGGCCGGGGCAGCCAGGATACAGTGGAAAGCTTTCAGGATTTCTGAAAACATGTTCAGGCCACCTCAAGATTAGTACGTCAAAACCTTGGTGCTGGAGACAATACATGTACCTGGAGCATCTCCCAAGGTAATCCTGACGCATTCATGAACAAGTCTAGTCAAACCCTCTTATTTTACAGGGAAAAACTTACACAGGCTGTTAGGGCTTGAAATGGATGGCCTCCAAAAATGACATTGAAGCCCTAACCTGTAGTACCTGTGAAGGTGACATTATTTGGGAATGGGGTCTTTGCAAGTGACCAAGTTAAGATGAGGTCATTTAGAGTGAGTCCTAGTGCAACATGATTGATGGCCTTAGAAAGGAAAGAAATATTTGGTCACAAATCAGCAAAGGGGAAACACCTCACAGCGATGAAGGCAGGGAGGGGGCAGTACATCTAGCAACCAAGGAGTACCAGGGGCTCCCACAAAACCAGCAGAGGTTGGCAGGCAGCATGGAAGGATCTCTCTCACAGCCCTCACCAACCCTGCTGGCATCTGACCTGGGGACCTCGAGGTTCCAGAAAGACAGCAAATGTTTGTTGAGACAGCCACACCATTAGGGGCAGTACATTTTATAATAACCCCAGGGGAAAGTAACACAAAGTATTACTCAGTAACAGGGCTTTGATTTAAACCCAGGCCTCCTTCCTCCCAGCCCCAAATTGCTGGGCAAAGAATAGCAAGTGGGTAGCCTATCAATTGAAGGACTGTAGTGTGATGTCTAAGTCAACATTGTGTCCCAAGAAAGAAGTCCCTTTGGGAGACAAGAAATGGTTCAAGCTTCCCTGTGCATCTGCTAAGGACTAAGGTCTTGACTTACACAATACAAAGGTCATATCCTTTAAAGATTCCTCAAATGCCCCGCATGTGACCCCATGGCACCTCTGTCTTCTGTACTAGGAGCCTGACAGCTAGGAGACAGCTGAAGCCCCACACAAGGGACACCTGGGCCACCTCTGCCTACACTCCTTGCCTCTGAAACTGACCCCAAATCCTGAGGTGAGACTGGTGAAACTGTCCTTGTAGGAGCACGCAGCTTCTCAGCAGGGGACCACTCTGCCTTTCCACTTCCTGTTCACACCTGGCAACGCAACACTGACCTGTAGCCGGGCAACGCAGTGCAGTGGTAAAACCTGCCCGGGGCTGGCAGAACTTTGCTCTGGCAGATTCTGCTCCCAGACATAAGTTCCCTCTCCTGGTTCCACTCAAACCTGAACTCTGTTCAATGTCAGTCACTGACTAAAACAGTGACGGCAAACCTTTCAGAACCTTCTGCATCCGGGTATCATTACTTCTACTGGAGCACACGCATTTTAAGCTGCTGATTACACAATGAAATATCTGTGTCTGCCAACAAGGAATTTCAGGCATCGACAAGAAAATAGAAGAAACACTGAGAGGGGATTAGATTTAACTAGATCCCACAAGATCAGTAAGGCAAGTAAATTCAGATTATGGGGATAAAATCAGATGTTGGGGGGCGGCCAGCCAGGCAGCAGCCTCCTGCCCCAAGAAGCATTAGGAAAACTAGAACTAAAATGTCCATTAACTTAACTCCAGTTTCCAGGCACAGAGCTGGCAAATTCCCACCAAGGTGAAAATATGAAAAAAAAAAAGTTCTCAAGGGTACAGACTGCTCATGGCAAAGTGCATGTGTAGTTTGCAGGTGCCTTCCCTGGCTGGGACAACAGTAATAGTGGCAATCAGCCCAAATGACAAAACCAAGCATTGCATGACGTCACACTATCACCTGGGAGGAAACAATCCAGTCCATTACATAAATGTTCAATGATTCCACCTTCTCAACAAGTTTTCTGGCTCAGAAAACATGTATCTCCTTGCTTTGAACATATAACTTATCTTTCAAACAAGCTTCTCAGTCCTAAATATATTCTAAAAAAAATTTGAAGAATATTAAGGTCACCAAATTAGTCTGCCCTGAATCCCTGTATTTTGTGTTGGTCTGGCCTTAGGACTGGCCACTTCTCACACTTCCAGAGGCTCAGGGCTGCCCTCCAAACTGGTTATTTTGTTCCAAGAGTTGGTCCTGCTCTTTCGCAATTTAAGGGATGCTAGGAAGGGCAAGCAGAGGGGCACGCATCTCATGGGGGGTGGCAAGAGGCCATCACTCCTCCTGCTCCACCTCTTCCAGCCAGCCACTGCAGCTGCTTAGACAAAATGACTTGGTTCTACTCACTGGCTAAGGCAAGAGGCTGCCCTAATCCGAACAAGCCCTCAGTTGGCAGCACTGGGCACTGCAGTCTGGCCTGAGCCCTAGAGTGGAGATCTTTGCCGGGGACCTTATTTATGGTCTTGTTTGTGGAACTCGAGACAGAGCCAGCACTCACTAGATCCGCCGCCCCCAGCTACTTCTCCAGCGCCAACCTAAAAGCGCTGGTCTTTCTGCGGCTGCCTCTCTGTTTACCGGTTACCGCAGATCACGCAAAGCCCCTGGCCCAGCAACAACTTCTGCAGGGGACCTGTGCCTTCGCGCGAAACTAGTTTACCCTTCAGGGTCTGACCTCCCTTCCCCACCCCACCGCACCCCACTCCACCCCACCCCACCCCGAGCTATTTGCAGTCCCGTCTCCACCTGTTCTTAAACTTTGATCTCATGCATGCAAAAGCAGTAAAATCCGCAGCTTCCAACTTCCCCTACTACCGGCATCCCAGCGCTTTGGGCTTCTCTCGGGCGGGCCCGAGGGCCGCCCACGAAAGACCGCGAGTGTACCGGGGACCCCAACAAGGCAAAATGCTCCTTAAACTAGGGTACGGAGGATCCCCCGGCACTATAGACCTGTTCAAGAAATTCCACTGCGGGACCTGACACTAAAGCAGCACGCAGCAGCTGTCAGCATCGGGAGACACGGCTAAAATCTTCTAGGTTCGCTCGTGTTTCTCTCTCCTTTCCACCCAAGCACCAGGGTTTCCTTCTCTCCCGGCGGGCAGCTCTCCACCCCTATCCTTTCTAAATCCATCGGCCACTGAATTTCTGCTCCCCCGTGGTACAGTTTCACGCGACCACATCCCTCGTCCACAGACCCGATCGACTCCTGTAGAATTTCAGGCCCGCGCTGGGCCCCTGTTATCCGCACCCCAAAAGGCGAACCCGCGCCCTGTCAGAGACCCCACGTGGTGGGGAGCGCAAAGGGGGGCACAACAGCTCTGCCCCAGATACACAAAGCCAGAGGGAAACGCGGCGCGCTCACTGCCACCCACCCACCTCACTCCACCCAGGGCACGCAGAAAAAACCTCCAAACCCCAGCCCTAAGGCGGCTTTGGAAGCGACCCCACCTCGGCGCGGCTCTTAAGGCTGCTCCGCTTAGGTCGGAGCAGGACATCCTTGAAGTCGAGCTTGAGGTCCGCATCTATGCGGGGCATGGTGCGGAAGGCTCCTTTCCCCGGCGGAGGTGACTGCTGCACGGTGTCCGGGCGCGTGCGTGGCGCAGGGCTCCGGTGCTGAGCCGCTGCCGGCTTCTCCCGCGGGTCCGCGCACGCCGCGCTCACAAACCCGCCCCCGGCGCCCTGGGCCCCGCCCATTTCTCCACCCCGGCGTCTGGACCCCGCCCTCTTCCCCCGCCCCAGCTGGGTGGAGGCGCTCTGCGGGCAAGACTGCAGCGCGCTCGTCTCGCTCCCGCCGTGCGTCATCCTGCTGCTTGCGGGTGAGCAACGCCCTATTACCCCGACGCCCAATAGGGAGGGGATCTGTGAGTCACTGCCTCTGTCCTTGAGAGGTTGGGCTTCTTTCTCAGTTTCTAGCCCACCTAGCGCTGAGTCGCTGAGTGCCAGAGGAGGAGCCCTTGGGACTTTGCATAGACCCGTGGGAAAGAGGCTGGGGTGCAGTCGGTGGCTGAGCGCCTGCCTTGCATGGGTAAAGCCGTGCATTGAAAGCACGGGACCAAGACCTTGGGCAGGCATTTATTTAGCAATGTTTAGGCCATTTTTGGGTGCCTTTTGGATTTCAAGTCTTGTTTATATGTATTTTTCTTAAGTGAGCATCTATAATCAGTTCAGACCCTCGGATTGGAGAGCTGAAGGGCTCTCGGAGGGTCACCAGTGATGGGAGTTCAGTTTTAGTTCACTTGACCTTGACGAGCACTTTCTGTCCCTACAGTTTGCATCGCTAGAACAACCCAGTGAAAAAAGAACCATTTGCAGATAAGGAAAAGTGAGGCTCATGCGGATGAAATAACTTGCCCATAGTCCCAGAAAATTAGATATGAATGGAATCTGTTAATCCTTAAAATTTTGTCCTACAACTTTTCACTGCTTTTGTTCTGGGAGATGAAGTTCTGCCTGGCTTTAAATCTGGTTTGGCTGGGGGACGTTGGGAGAGTCAGTTTTCTTGGAAGTTAAAAGAGAAGCCCTAAGGGCCAGCGAGATAGCTCAGGGGACTAAGTGCCTGCTTAGGCAAGCACAGGGGTTCGATCCTCAGCACCACTGCCGTGACGGCTCTGCCCCCGGGAATGCTGAGCTGGCCAGCGAATCAGGGCATGGTGGTGCATACCTGTTATCCCTGCCCAGGGAGGCTGAAAACAGGAGGATCACTATGAATCTAGGCTGCATAGTGAGACCCTGTACCAAATACAAGAAGGAGGATGAAGTGGAGGAGGAA